TGTTGTCTGCAGCTTGTGCCTCAGGAAGAACATCCCCTGAAGAAAGTGAAGCACCCAGTGATTCAAAATGCCCCATCACACTTCAAAAGTGTCATGGGCTTCCTGTTCTATCTGCTGTTCCCCTTCTGTTGAGAAAAGAGCTGGGGAGCCCTAAGTGGGAAAACACACGCTTGCCAACGTTAGAACTGATCACTTAGGTTTTTTTATTATTATTTGCATTATTCATACCTTTAGTAATTTAAATACGGCTCTTCGGAGTTGTGGACTTGGAGAGCTGTGAGACCGTTCTTCTTACTTGTAATTTATCAAAGGATCATTTGAATCCTGAATTTTGTTTCTATTTTTCTTACTTAGGCATTTACTTTGTTTGCTACGCATTTCCTGGAGCTGTGTCATATGGATGCTTTGTATCCCAATGTGGAAAATTACCATTTTGAAGTGCAGCATGTGAGAAGCAGTGCTGGAAAGAAGGAGAAGATTACGTACACTTACACACTTTCTAAAGGATATACAGAGGAAAAGAACTACGGTAAGAGATTCCACTGTGACTGACTTGGTAGAGTGTGCAGATAAAAGGATTATGAGTCACTGAGCCATGAGTGACAGTAAGGTATAACTGCATGTTTTAAAGAAGTGTGGAAATCCATATTTCTGAATGCAAGATTCTGTAGCTGAATCTGTGATTTAGATGAGATTTAATAGCTGCACATGATTACTGCAAGTCAGTGGTGACTGAAAACTACAAATTAGTCCTGTCTGGCTTGAGTTGATGAGACTTAAGATGCCTCTTTATCAGAATTTCAGGTGTAAGTTTCTCTGTCGTTCGCAGAACAAGGTCTGTTTCAGATGCTGCAGCCCTAACTCAGAAATACCATGTTTCTGGAGTCCCCAGTTCAAAAAAGACAGGAATAGACAGGGATCTCCTAGGAGTCCAGTGGAGGGTGACAGAGGTGATAAAGGGCCTGGAGCGTTGCCTATACAAGGAAAGGCTGAGAGACCTAGGGTGTCTTCAGTCTGGAGAAGAGAAGGCTGAGAGAGGATCTCGTAACTGTTTATAGATACCCAGACTGTGGGAGTAAAGCGGATAGGGACGTAGTCTTTTCAGTGGTGTGCAGTAATAGAATAAGGGGCAACAAGCAGAAACTGGAACACAGTTGCATGCAAACACAAGGAAGAGCTTCTTTACTGTTAAAGTGCCGGCACACTGGAGCAGGCTGCCCACAGAGGTCATGCAGTCTCCTTCTCTAGAGGCATTCAGGCCTGTCTGGATGCCTACCTGTGTGACTTGCTGTAGGGAACCTGCTTTAGTGGGGGATTGGACTTGATGAGCTCTAGAGCTTCCTTCCAAGCCCTGTGAGCAGCAGACCTTTGCTAGATCTCCTGCTGACACAGGAGTCCTGCCTCACTGTCCTGACTTTGTCTTAATTGAGCAGAGTTGTATTTAATAATTAAAAAAAAAGTGCAGGGGCTTTTCTTGACCGTTTCTAACGGTACGTTGTTGGAACTTCTCCTGAAGCACAGAATTTCCTCTGCGCAGTCAGAGTCACAGACAGCAGTTAAAAAAAATCAAAACATCGTGCCAGGGCAGAAGAAGATCTTTTCACGTGTTTTTTTACCCTGAGTATCTGCAGCTTTGCAGCTGGCAAGGAGCACAAGTCGGAAAATGACGCCTGCGTCCGCTCAGTACCCACATGCGGGGCTGAGTGCATTTAGCACTACCTGAACGTGAAAGAAGCAGACAAAGCTGTTGATGACTGCTGTGCCGTTTTCCGTTCATCCTTTGGAGCATCTGATCCTGCCCACTTAATGCCAGCCCTAACTTCTGTGAAGTGTATTTCAGGGGCCACATTGTAACAAAGTAGACATTTTATTCAGTAACTCTTACAACAGTATTGGTGGAAAAAGAGACAGAAAGATTACATCAAAATAACTTTTTAGATGAATATTTTACCCCTTAAAGTGAGCTGATTGTAGAATAAATAATGTGGAGGGTAGAATAAAATGTTATCCTAAATCCTGGTTTGTTTCCTTTGTTTAGGATTAAAAGCTGCAGAAGTTTCCTCTCTACCACCATCCATAATTCTGGATGCAAAGGCAATCACAAACCATGTTGCTGAACAAATTTTGGTACGTAGCAGTCGTTTATAAATGTATGCTACTGCAATTATCAGTTTTTGTAAAACTCTGCTTTATTTTAAATATTTCTGAAAGATTATAGCATAAGCACTGCATAGGCTTTTATGATGACAGATGTCATCAAGAAAGTAACATTTTGATTTCTGAAACTAATGGTAAGAGATGTTTGCTACGGGCCGCTGTTAAGTGACAACAGAAAGCAGCCTGTGGGGTTCAGGAGTGCTGGCTGTAGTGTTGGTGTGCCAACCAAGAATCAGCAGGTCAGAAGTAGCGTGCAAAAAGCCTGTAGTGCTTCTATTTTAATAATAGCAAGTTATTAATTTCCTACTTAAAGTGTGTGTGTGCTTTTAAGAACAGCACAGACAGAAAACCACTCCTGAGATGATGAAGCACAGAGCTGTGTACCACCTGGCAATGAGGTTGGTTCAGACTGCTAGAAACTCGCGATTGGATTCGGAGAGTTTGCAAGTGTATTTGAAAGGCTTGAAGAGAAAGTATGCAGCCAGTTGTCCTGCGCCGGAACGGAGCGATGAGCAGCACTGACTCGTAACAACACTGTTGAAATAAGTTCTGGCTGCAAGATGATTTCATTAGTTTCCATAATATTTGAAAACACTGTTTTTCATGTATTTACAACTTAATTTTAGTTGAAACTATATCCATTAGTAAAAGAAACTGTTTCTTCTTTCACCAGAAAGGAGATCATTTACTTCCTATGCAAAACAGCTCTTTTCTTCTGATAGTGAACATATTCCATCCCTTTCATTGTTTTACAGACAAAATGTGGGTCGCTAATCGTTTGTGCAGCAGATGTGGTGTTACGCTGCTGAATAAAAAGCAGTCTGGAACAGATGGTCCACTTGTCTTATACGGGCGGGCTGCGTGTGCAGTGTTGGATATTCGTCCACAGACGCTGCTGTTTCCTACTCACAGAGGGCTCTGGCTCTCTACATCTCACGTTCAATCCAGCAGCAGGCAGTCCTGCAAAGGGGCAGCAGCCCACCTGTCAGGGGGTGCTGGGCCCTGTGGCGCGGCGCTCCTCTGCCTCTCCTGGGGCACCAGCTGTGCCGCTGCTGCTGTGTGCTGCAGGAGGTTTGCGGAGCGGTGCCGCTGCAGGAGCAGCACGAGGGCTGGCGAGGGGAGGAGCAGCGTTCCGCAGCGGCGGCTCTCCAGAAGTAATGCTTGTGTGCAGAGCTGGAGGGCTGTCCCTTTCTTCTCACTGCTCTGCCTGCGCACTCTGGTCCTTCGGGCAGCAACAAGCGCCTGCAGTGAAGGAAGAAGCGGCGTCTCTTCTCCAGTCACTGCACTGAGTCTGCTTGCGCCTACAGGCAGGAGTCTTACGTGCAGTAACATGTGCACAGAAACGTGGAAGCAGCCTCTTTTTTCTCTAAGTGCTCTGTTTCATGAATCCATGGTCTGTTCTTCCAGTAGTAGTGCAGGATCAGGTAGCAATGGCTTCATTTGCACTAAGCACTCGAGGTCTGGGGCGCCCGCTCGCAGCCCACAGCGTTCTTCCTCTGTTCGCTCTGCACCTCACTGCATTTTTGGCCCCCGTCGAGCCCTGTGAACGGACCGTCTCGGCTCCCCGCTGCCCCCGTGGCACGCAACTGGACTCAACACAGCACAGTGACATGTGTTCACCCCAGCGCCGTGTGTGCTTGTGCTGCAGGGCAGGCTGGTGCTTCCTGCAGACTGCAGTCTGGTTCTGGGGTGCTTCTCCACATGCTGGGTGACATGAAACAGTCGGGAAATGGACTGCTGCCTTGGGGGAAAGAACGATGCTTTGTCTTGTGCCTCAACCCATGATTGTCCAGTCTTCTGGCTTGCCTGGACCATATTGAATGCACAGGAGTTGCCTTGGGCTGCATACATAATATGTATGAGCAACAGAACATTGTTAATGTATTTTTTTAGCATTCCTTGATAGGCGTTGAATTTGGCAGCATGTTTCTGCATATAATGTCTTTTCAAGTTGTATTCTTTGAAAAATAACACAGCTTCCTTGCAAATTAAGCATAGTGCCGCAGTACCTGATCTCATACTTGATCTGGTGGTTGGAACCTGATCCAACCTGCCTGTGGCAGAGGGGTTGGAACTTGATCCTTGAGGTCCCTTCCAACCCAGGCCATCCTGTGATTATTTGTCAGCGCTGTTCTCCTGGTGTCTTGGGGCCAGGCGGGCCAGGCTGCTCTGTGGGGCAGAGCTGCCACTGTGATGACATGGCAGCAGAGGGTGTGAGCCACAGCGCAAGCTGAGCTGGGCCATGTGGCCTGCAGGTTGGCTGTGCATGACTTAGCCTTACGTGCAGCAATGGAAAACTCCATTTCCTGTGATGCTCCAGAACTCAGCTTTGCTGACCAACTGGCTGCTGTATTCCCGGAGGTCAGAGCAGCACACACATCCACCCATACATCACTGTGTGTAACGGCACCAGAGTGCTCACGGAGGTTCTCAGTGCACCTGCCCTGGAGTGGCCCAGGGAGCTCAGAGATTGGTCTGGTATGGCCCTGAGTGTGCCGAGGGCTACTTGGGCTACAGTGGAGTGCACGGAATAGCCTTTAGGGCACTCTAGAGGACACGGAGAAGTTTGGGGTGTATTGTAGGGTTCCCTTGCGTCCACTTCAACATCATTGGAAGCCTGTAGAGCACACTAGGCGGACACAGACAAGCTCTGGGAGTCCATTTGTGTGCCTTAGAATACAATGGAGTCCTCTTCTTTGTTAAGGCCTCCAAGAATGACATTCCTTTACCTGACTCACACTGTTTCATCTTCCTGATCTGATTAGGTTAGGCTCATTTGATTTTTTGCAAAACACCTTTAATCGCCTTGCAAGATCATCATTACAAATAGAATCACACATACATTTTCAGCAATCTGAGATTTATTTTTGGCTTTTTCTTTAATGCAAAAAAGGCATTTATAAAAAAACCTCATTAAAAATAGGCAGAGGCTGAGACAATGTCAATACAGTCTTGTGCTTTCTGCTAACATGCCTTCACTCTATTACCGTTAAATTTGCCTGGTGTAGTTGGACTTTGGTGCATGACTATTTAAATAAATGCAACTGACGCTAATAAAAAAAATGCAACATAACTTCGGTCATTGTTTTCACATACATTCATAAGCAATTAACACAGGCTTCCTGGCTTTGCAGATTTTTTCCTTTCTTGCTTTCTTCCCTCTTCCAACTTTGCGTTCACCTGAAGTCAAAAGAATAAAGCCAACAGCGCCTAGCCCCGTCAGCCCGATCGCCGAAGCCGTTTCCTGGGTCTCTGCTGCCACCGCGTGGCCAAAGCGCGCGACTGCACCGGAAGCGGACGAGTCTCGGGGATCGGCGGGGGAGGCGGCTTTCTGGAACGGTGAGGATCAGAGCAGCTCTGGGAGCACACCGGGCGAGTCATTCCTCTAATCGTGCTGCGCCGTCAATCCGCCAACGCCCGTCATTATAGGGAGTCCCAAAATGCCGATAGCGGGACTGGTGCACGCACAGGGCCATGTCGGGGCTGGCACGTGGTACTACCGGGTCCACAATGCCACGCGCGCAGTGCAGCGCAGCACTGGCGCATGCGTAGTTTTCTTTCTCCCCCCCCCAGGAATGGCGCATGCGTACTACTAGAGCTTGCAATTGCGCATGCGATTACTGTCTCTGGAATCGCGCATGCGTTCAACTTCCCCTGTAGTGGTGCATGCGTAATGCTGGACCGGCGCACGTAGAACCTGGCACATGCGCAGTGCTAGCCCCGGGATGTCGCATGCGTAGTACTCACCAGTATGGCGCATGCGCAGTGAACCATCAAGCATGGCACATGCGTACTAGTCTCCAGAATTACGCATGCGTAGTGCTGTGTCGAGACTGGCGCATGCGTAGAACTCTGTGCGGACGCTGCGTTGTGGCCGCCGTCATGGCGCTGGTGTCGGCGGACTCGCGCATCGCCGAGCTGCTGGCCGAGCTGCAGCGGCTGCTGGGGCACACGCAGGTGTGGAGGCGCGGGCGCACGGAGGGTCTGAGCCGCTTTGCTGCCTCCCGCGAAGTGTCCGCGTGGCTCCGGGGGCGGGCTGAGGCTCTGGCCGTTTGGGTTTGCGCTTCGTCGCGTGGCTTTGGGGCTGCGCTGATGGGTGCGGGGCTGGCGCTGCGGGCGCGGAGGCGGAGTCGCGGAGCGGGAGTTTGCGCTGTGGATGCGGTGACTGGGGGGGGCGGGCGCCGGGCTGGGGGTCCGGGCTTGGGGGCTGTGCGGGCAGCCCCCGCCGCGAGCCTGCCGCCTTACAGGAGGAGCGCTCCCGCAGCGAGCACAACCTGATCAACATCCAGAAAACGCACGAGAGGATGCAGACCGAGAACAAGAGTGAGAGCGGCGCGGGGCGGAGCGGGTGGCGCCGGGAACCGGAAGGGCGCTGCGGGGCGGGGCTGCGAGGAGAGGCGGGCTTCTGGGGAGGGAGCGGGGTGATGCGGAGAGGGCGGGGCTGTGGGAAGGGGGCGGGGTTTAAGGAAAGGGGCGGAGTTGGGTGAAAGGAGCGCGGCCGCGGCAGCGCGGCTCAGGCCGTTCTTACGTTCCCCTTCAGTCTCGCCGTACTACCGCACCAAGCTGCGCGGGCTGTACACCACTGCCAAGGCGGACGCTGAGGCTGAGTGCAAGTAGGGCAGCCCCCGCATCCCCACATCCCTACACCCCCACACCCCGCACCCCAACAACCCTACACGCTGCCCCGTGCCCCCCATGAGTGGCAGCCGCCCTGATGGCCCTCTGCAGCATCCTTCGCAAAGCGCTGGACAAGATTGCCGAGATCAAGTCCCTGCTGGAGGAGCGCCGCATCGGTACGAGCCTCCGTTGTGCGGCTGTGTCCCGGACCCCGTGTGTCCCTGGCCCCTGCTCGTCCTGTACATTCCCTGTGCGCAGCCAACCCAAACTTTCTCTGTGTGTCTCCCCAAACTCTGCTTGTTTTCACCCTAATTCTCCCAACGCATACTCAGATCCTTTTGTATTTTTTCTGTATTACTTTGCGTTTTAAAAGTTCCTGTATGGACCTCCTGATATGGTATTTTGTATTACTTTTTTTTTCCTATTTTTGAGTTGGTTGAAACCCCCAAATTCCCTCAAACTGTTCCTGCTCTTCCAAACTCTGCTAAATTTCCCCAAATGTCCCTAGGCGCTGCAGTTCCTTCCCACATCTGTTGTGTGTGTTTCCGTTTTTCTTTCTTTCCCCCAGCTTTTCTGATGTGAGCTCGGACCCCAGTTTTCTCAGCTTTCACCCCAAATTCCTCTCAAATTCTCTTAGTATGTTCTGTTACTTCCTGTCACACCACGCTGTTTTTCTGTTTTTATGCCCCAAACCCCTGGCATTGCTCCCAAATCTTCCCCTGCACACCCCACCCCCTCCCCAACTGACCCCCAGTCTTGGTGTCACCGTGTCCCCCCACTGTGCCACAGCCGCCAAGATTGCAGGGATCTACAGCGACGCAGAGCCGCCACGCAAGACGATGCGCCGGGGCGTGCTGATGACACTGCTGCAGCAGTCGGCCATGACGCTGCCGCTCTGGATCGGCAAGCCAGGCGACAAGTAGGTCCTCCCCGACCCCACAGTGCACCCCTCCCCACAGGTTGCCCTGAACTCCCAGACCCACACCGCACCCCGCCCTCCACTGTGCCCTGAGCCCCCAGTTGCGCACCACACCGTAACCCCATCCACTGCTTCTGGACCCCGACTCCAAAGCATAGCCCTAACCCTACACGTGACATCCAGACGCAGCAAATCCCACCCCCTGCCCTACACCATAGGCCTCCAGCTGCCTCCAGCCCCATCCTGGGAAACTCAACCTGCCCAGACCCCACTCTGACCATACCCTTGCCCTCTCTCCCCTTGCACCCCATCAAACCCCAAGTCAGGGTCTGTTCCCTGACCCCTGTCCTGGATTGCCAGCTCCCCCCTGACTGCACTGCAGAACCCCAAATCCCATCCGAGCTTCACCCCTCCCCCTAACTCCCACCTGCCAACCCGCAACCCCCAACCCCAGGCCGCCCCCGCTGTGCGGTGCCATGCCAGCAGCCGGGGACTACGTGGCCAAGCCTGGGGACAAAGTGGCGGCACGCGTCAAGGCGGTGGATGGCGACGAGCAGTGGATCCTGGCTGAGGTGGTCAGCTACAGCCACGCTGCCAACAAGTGTGTGGAGGGGGCGAGGGGGTGGGAGGTGGGGAGGGAAAGGGGCAGGGTTGTGGGGGGTGGTGGAAAGGGGTGAGGAGGCGGTTCGGGCATTCTGGGGGGGAATGGGGCATGGCGCGGGGCAGTGTTGGGGCATTTTGGGGCACTGCAGCCACTGCTCCTTGTAGGGCTGTGGGGTGCTCTGGGGTCACAGCACTACCCCACATTTTGCTGTGGTTTAATCCTTTTTCCTTTTTTCTTTCCCCCGCCCCAGGTATGAGGTGGATGACATCGATGAGGAGGGCAAAGAGTGAGCACCCCCACCCCTCAACTGTACCCCCAGCCCCACAACTGCCCCCACATCCTTGCAGCCCCCAGCCCTTCCCAAAGCCCTCCCCAATTCCTCCAACTCCCTCATCACTCCCTAACTCTCCCCAACTCCCCCCAAACTCCCACCTCAAACCCCTCAAAACAACCCAACTCCCCACAAACTCCCTTCCCACGCCCCCCATGCTCCCAGCTCCCCACAAACCTCTTCTAGTTCTCACCAAACCTTCCCAAATCCTCTCCACACACCTCCCCAAAGCCCTCTAGCTCTCCCGAACTCCCTCTGCACAACCACCATACCACAAAACTCTCCTCAGACCCCCAAACCTGCTCTCCAGACCCCTCATCCGCCCCCAACCCGCACTCACTGCTCCTCCCCACCATCCTGCAGGAGGCACACGCTCAGCCGGCGCCGCGTGATCCCTCTGCCGCAGTGGAAGGCAAACCCTGAGACTGACCCTGAAGCGCTGTTCCAGCGTGAGCAGCTGGTGCTGGCACTGTACCCGCAGACCACCTGCTTCTACCGCGCCCTCATCCACGCACCGCCGCAGCGGGTACGGCCCCAGTGTGCCCTGCAGATCGGCCCTGCCCTGGGCCCAGCACTCGCTCATTATTGCTGCTGTTTTTCACCCCACGCTTGCAGCCACAGGATGACTACTCAGTGTTGTTCGAGGACACGTCGTATGCTGACGGTTACTCGCCGCCCCTGAACGTGGCGCAGCGCTATGTTGTCGCCTGCAAGGAGACCAAGAAGAAGTGACCCTCACAGATTGGGGTACTTTGGGGATTTTGGGCCATTCTGGGGATTTTTGGTGGTCTGTGGGTCTGTGAGGGTTATGCCGAGTTCAGATGCTATAGGTTGTGCTGTTTTTGGTGTGAATTTGGGGCGTTTGGGGTATTTGCTGTCATGGGTGAGGGGTTGTATGGACCCCATAGTGGCACTACGAGGGCCCTAAAATCACAACATTCCACCCCAAAACACACTCCATAGTGCTGTAAAGGACCCAGAACTCACCCCATTGTGCCCCACAGCAATCCACAGGGAACCCAAACTCACTGCCTAGGCCCCAAAGTGTCCACCATGAACCCAAACTCACCCTAATGGGCCCCAGAGTGAACCATAGGGATCCCAGGGACCCTGGACCCACACCATAGGGCCTCAGAGTGACCTACAGACCCCTAAAGTGTCGATCAGGGACCCCAGACCCACCACTAAGGACCACAGAGTGACCCACAGGACCCCAGACACACACTACGTGAGTCCATAGCATCCCTCAAGGATCCCACTTGGCCTGCAGGACCTGGAAATGTTCACTGGAAGATTGCAACGTCCCTCTAGTTGACCCCGAAACACCACGGGGGACCACGAAGAGCTCAAAGCGACTGACCCTGTGGGCCCCAAAGTGACCTTAATGACCTCAAATCCATCCGAACGGCCCCCATCTGTCCCCAGGACCCCCATTCCCTTCCAGGATCCAAAAGAACGATGCTGGAAGCGGTTCCACCTGTTGCTTTATTGTGAATAAATTAAGTTAGAAAGCCGCTGAGGGGGAGGTGGCTTCACTCCGGTTCTGCCCGCTGGCCCTGCAGCAGCTCATCCGTCCAATGGCCCTGTGGGAGCAGAAGTCAGCGGGTGGGCTCAAAGATGGGACGGCGTGCTCAGGGCAGCGGGGCTGCGGTCAGAGGCTGGTGGGAGGGGCTTACCAAGGTAGGGTCTCCTAGCTCCGCCCACTCATCGTCGCCATCCCCGCAGCCAATCAGCTCTCCCCACAGCACCTCCTGCTGGCAGCTGGGGGTGGGGCTTAGCGCTGATCACGCTCAATTGGCCCCGCCTTCCCTAAGCCCCGCCCACTCACCTGGGGCAGGTCCCACCCAGCGGCAGCAGTTCCTTCGGCTCCGCCCCCAGGAAGTGTGGGGCAAGGCAGCGGGCGTGGCAGCGGGCGGGGCAGGGGGGGCGGGGACAGCGGAGAGTGCGGCCCTGGGGGTGGAACCGCATCGAGGAGGTGGGGTCACACCAGGCCACGCCCCTTTGTAATGCACCGCTTCAGAATTCCTCTGAGTGTCCCAAATGGAATTGAAAGGCCCAGGAACTCGGCAGGATGACCCTGAAGCAACCATGGGGACCCCAGATCCGCCCCCCCCAGGGACACCACATCCATCCCATGGGCACCAGGCTGACCCTTGACATCCCCACGGGGCCTCAGAACCCCAGTGTAGAGGCCGGTCATCAAAAATAATGACTGCGCAATACCGCACCTGGACCTCAGAGCCCATAGCGTGACCCCAAATCACCTGTTTCAAAGCCCCCTGACCCCTCGGAATGACCCCAATGTGCCACAGGGGCCCTGAGCGCCACAGACGTGCCGCACAGCATAGCAGCGTGACACAGGAGAGACCCCAAAATACCCCATGAACGAACCGCTATTCCCTTCGACCGACCCCCAAAATGCCTCCAAACGACCCCAGAGATTCCAAGCCCCCAGCCTCACCTCGCAGGGCTCCAAACACAGCGTGCACGCAGGGGGCGTGGCCAAAGTGGTCGCAGGCCGCTTCCTGGGGCGTGGCTTTGGCCCTCCCGGGTCCATTTCCATAACGACGTGGGGGGGTGGGGCCGGGTGGAGGGCGGGGCCTGGTTGAGGGCGGAGCCAGCGCAGGCGCAGTGGGAGGCGGCGCCAGGGCGGGGCCCAGAGCAGGCGGGGCAGCATACGAAGCGCGAAAGCGATTGGCTGCTCACCGGGAAGGGGGCGGGGTTTAGCATCCTGGAGGCGGCGGGAAGCGGCGGGGTGCTGCCATGCCCACTCGAACTGCACGGAAGGCGCGGCTCAACGAAACAGGGCGGGAGCGCAGGCAGCGCGATGGGGGAGGTGCGGGGCTTAGGGGAGGTGGGACAGCGCTGGTTGGGCGGGGCTTGGGGGAGGTGGGACAGCGCTGGTTGGGCGGGGCTTGGGGGTGCGGCAGCGCTGGACGGGCGGGGCTAAGGGAGAGGGGCTTGTGGCGCAGCAGATGGGGCTCAGATAACGCGCGGCGCATAGAAAGAGATCCGCCTAATGTGCGAACGGGACCGGGGGAGCAGCGGGGCTTCTCGAGAGCGAGGCGCTGCTCGGAGGTCTGTGGGGGTGTGGCCGAAGGGAGACGTGTCCTACCCGGAGCGCCGCTACGTCGGACGGAAAGCCGTGCACGTAGAGCTCCATCCGCCTGCGGGAAGAGAGCGGCTGTGATGTGACGCCCGCCACTCCCCGAATCGCCCGCACTTCCAGCCCTGGACCCCCGCCTTTCGGTTACCCACCACGGCCCGCGGCCGCTCGTGCGCCGCGCCCCACCCTTCTGCCGCCCCGCGTTGTGCTGCCGCAGTCGCCGCCAAGGGTCGTGCGTGAATCCTACGTAGGTGCGGGGCCGGCCGCGGGCGCCGGGAGCGCTCAGGAGGTACACAGCACGCAGCGGCATGGCACGAGAGAGAGCGGCAAATCCGGCGCCGCGGCCCAACCGATTTCCGGTCCCCACGCACTCTCTTCCGCTCTATTCCATTCACCTCCGCTCCCGTCCAATTGCTTTCTTGTTAATTTACACAATTCCGGTCCTGTCCTGTTACCTCCCTGACGGTGCACTTCCGCCACGCTACCCATAATCCCTCGCAGCCCACGGAAGTGCTCGTCCCGGAAATTCCCTCCTGCTCCCGTTCTCATGACTGGTGCCTTGCTAAAGCGGCACTTCCGCCTCGCTACCCACAAAACTCCAGGGCTGCTGAGATGTTTCTCCCCATTTATCCCGCCTCTTCCGACTCTGCTCCGGGCTCCGATTGGCCAAGTGGCCCCGGATGGGCGGAAGCGGTGCCATAGTTGAGCCGGAGCGGGGAAGTCGGCGCGGAGTGGGGTCCTGGTTCTGGGCGAGAGGTCCTGAATATGTCCCACATTCAGATGGGATGCGACTCAAAATCGCTCCCTTTAGCCGGGCCCCAAGCACCAAATCCACCCCCCCGCCCCACATCTCTCCTGAAACCCAGACCTAAATCCGGCGATGGTTGTGGGTTCAGAATCCGGATGTGGGGTGTAGGTTTGTGATGTGGATCCCGGATTCCTGTTGTGAGGCTCGGGGTATGGGGTCTAGATGTAGGGTTTGGGACCTGGATTTGGGCTCTGAGGGCAGGTTTGCGGATGAGATGTGGGACTTGGGACTAGGTGGGGGGCAAATATATGTGGGGTCGGGGCTGAGGTTTGCCCCAAAATAGCGTGGGGAGGGTCGGGGCATCTAATGGGGGGAGGTCCGGGCGACTCCGTGTGCCTCACTCTCCCCGCCCCCCCAGCAGCTCTGCGCTCTCGAAGCGCCCCGCCCCTTCACTGTTCCCCCCTCCCCAGACCCCCCCTGTGCTGGCGGTACCCGCAATGCGCCCAATTAATATGGCCCCAATTAGTACATGCCCCAGTTAATACATCCCCGCTCATCCTCACCGATGGATTCCCCCCATTACTCCCCATTAAATCTTCATCCATGCCCCGCTGAATAAACACTCAATTCATCGCCCATTTATCCCCATTAATACCTTATTAACCCTCCTTGTTCCCCATTATTTTCTCTATAATTATTCCTCCTAAAAACTCTTCCACTAATTAACCCTGCACTCGTTATGTACCTAGTAATACTCTCTTAATTACTGCTCCCCATCACTCCCCCACTAAAGGGTGTATAATTAATGAGTTACTTCATTACTACCCCCCCTTAGTGACCCCACTAACCTCCCCTTGAGTTCCTGCACTGATGACTACCTGTCCCCCCCACACTAATGATACATAGCAAGACCCAGAACAAGACCAGTAGAGACCAAGGAACCTCATAGTGCTCCCTAAAGACCCATAGCAAGACCCAGAGCACCCCACAGAGCCCCATCTGTTACCCTCAGCCTCCCTACCTGAATGTAGGGTGGGGGTTACACTGCAGCAGTCAGCATCACTGCATCCCTCCATGAGGTCCCAGGGGGCAGTGGAAGAGGTGGGGGTGCTGTGGGGGGAGGTACAGCCCTGGAGAGGTGGGCCTCATGCCCCTAAGTGAGGTAGAGTGACCCCAAAGTCACTCTAGGTCCCAACTCAGCCCCCCCAGCCCCATAGAATCCTTCCCACTCCAACAGAATCCCCCACACCTCAGGGGCTCAGAGAGGCTCTGCGGCCGGCGTGGATCTTCCTGGTTGGACTGCTTGTGAGTTTCCTGGAGCTGTTGAATACGTGGGCTTCCCCGCCTGCCCTGATTGCTCACCAGGCCATCGATGTCCTTTGTGCCGTCGTGCCTCATGGCTTCAGGTATCGTGCCATAGGCTCCTTAGAGTCAGAAGGGACTGTTTGTGATGATCTAGTCCGACTCCCCACAAGGAACAGGGACATCCACAGCTCAATCGGGCTGCCCAGGGCCTGATCCCCCCTCACCTTGGAAGGGACAGGGCATCCACCACCTCTCTGGGCAGCCTGTTCCACTGCCCAGAATCACAGAACGTCCTGGCTTTGAAGGGACCTCGAGGCCCACGAGTCTCCAGCCCCCCACCAACACAGGGCCACCAACCTCCCCATTTCACAGTAGCCCAGGCTGCCCAGGGCCCCATCCAACCTGGCCTTGAACACCTCCAGGGGTGGACGGGGCATCACAGCCTCTCTGGGCAGCTGTTCCAGCACCTCGCCACTCTCACAGTAAAGAACTTCGCCCTGACATCCAACCTCAATCTCCCCCTCCCTCAATTTAAAACCATTTCCCTATCTGACCCTTGAGAGATGGCAAGCCACAGAAAAGGAGAGAGAAGGAACATGCCAGCAGTGGATTTGATCAGCATCACTAGCAGGGTATTCCCTGCTTCAAAGCACACTTCCACTCTTTCTCCCACTTTCATTCTCCCCAGGGTTTGTAGGGTTTGTTCCACTTGCATGCTGTACCCGTTCAGCCAGTACATGATACAGAGCTTTACAATCTAAGAATTTTAGGATGCTATAATCACAAAATAAACAAGACAGTTAGGCAAAGCAGACTATGACAACAAAAGAGAATAAATAAAAGGCTTACCCCTATTCTGGGCTCACTCACAAAACACCAGCAGAGCAGATCTCCAGCAGAGACCCTT